AATGAGCGCCTCTTGACCACCTTGAGTAATTGTTGATGCAAATGGCGTGTCTGTTCAGATGTTTCACTTCGCAGTTTAGCTGCTATAGCTCGCCTGAATAACAAAATGGCAGTGTAGACGGGAGTGACGGGCAGAGTCATATGCAGTATAGTGCCCAATACCGGCCAGGTAAAGATATTTAGATGACCGCTCGCACATTCATTTCGAATATCGTAATTGAACACTTGAGACAAGCGCTGTTTCACAAGAGATTCGCGATCAAGCGTAAAACAGAAAAAAATCTGGAACAGTGGATAGATATTTTTGCAATTGTGTTGTATCACAATGTTGTGGTTTGCTCACCTAAACTTTTGTAAAGCAGTAGAATTGTTCCAAAAACGCTGAGGACTTACTGGTCCGTTTTATGCACTTTTTAAAAACATTAAATCTAACCGCGCTATGACCCAGTTCAACATAAAAACTATGGTGTTGAGAAAGTCACAAAATCATAGAATTGTTGAGTTGTGTGGGAGATAATGTCGCATCATGCGCTGACATTCAACATCGCGGCAATGTGAACACGAAAAAGTGATTGTGGTCACGCCCGATATGCGAAAGAGAGCTTTACAAGATGAAATTTTCATATTCGCATGGAGTTTGATTCATGTGAATTCTGAAGGCATAATTCAAAAGGCTTTCATTGCCTGAAACAAAAAACACGGCATACTTTTGACAATTCTGGGGGTTCAAATAATTTTTTAGTATAAATCTTTGCAAATATGATGAAATGTTATATGATTGAACAAATATGGGTCCGGAATTCTGTAGACATTATTTCGGGTACTCAACATTATTTATATTTCGGCTTCAGTCATGTGGATCGGGGTTCGAACATTTAAAGACCTCTGTAGGACTTGCTTTGCTCTCATGAAAAATAGCACGAACATTCCTTTTTGTGTCTATTCTGCCGCGGTGATGCGACATTATTTTGGACAGCTTAATATTCAAAGAAAACTTAATGACCGTTTGCATATTCATATCGTACGTAATTAAACAATCGAGACACGTCTTTGTTATATCATAAAGTCACAAATTACTTACAAACTGTAGAAATGATGGGATATAGATGAGGAGAAGCGTGCATTGGACTTTGCATCTACTTGGCTGTACATTGCTGATGATGTAATAGCGATACCAGAAGGAATACAATAAAATCCATAACCAATGACTGTAGCAATGTAACATGAAGCTGTACCTAAATGGTGTAACACGTTCTCGATTTTTATCTATAGAATTATGCTCTTAGAGAGTTCCCAACGTGATGAAGCACGCAGACGGTCCCAAGTACCGACACGGCCCATATGAGATATAGAAAAGACCAATGCCGCCCGCGATTATCCTAAATCTTCTACATTTTCAAAGTTGGTAACCTGTCGCAATGAGGCGGACCTCTGCTGAACCATCATGGAAGCAACACAAGAGAAAAGATCTGTTATGGCAAAGTTGAGAATAAGTACTGAATACGTGGACATATTTGAGGGAGTTTTTTTGACGACAGCAAATATGAGGAGAATATTGAAGGAAATACCAATGAGATAGGTGATCAAGTGCAGAGCAGTGCTTATTATGTACAAAATTTCCATGTCTGCAAAAATAGGTAGGAGTGGATTTCCCTTCTGTTGTTTGATATGCACTGAAAACAAGTGACAGCTATTGAAATTTTTTTATAGTGGGAACAGAGAAGTAAATGAGTACTTCAGTATCAAGATTGTAAATTGCTATCTTCCTGGAAAGAAACGGCAAAAACTGGCTTTCTTGGAATACAAGTCACACAATGATTATACTTCAGATGGTTAGCTGGAGCTTTTTCTGTGTTTGTTCCAAATAATCTCTCATATGTAGGCGGAGATACGCCCATTATTACGTCGATACTACACGAATGAGTTCATTAGAACAACGTCTCCTATAGGGTCTCTACTCTCAAGCATACTTTGATCTGGTAAAATGTGATCAAGTCTCATAATTATGGAAGATCTTAAAAGCTTTTTTGTACAATCAGGGCCTGGCACAAGGTGGGCAAATGTCAAGCTGGAAGTTTGGATGGAAATCAAGGGGGACATTTGAATATATTCAAATATAAATGCACGATCTTTACAGGCTGCTATACGACTTATACTTTGAATTGTGACCGAATGTCTTGGCTACAGCGCGCACGTAACGATATGACCAAGAGTTCGGAGTATAAACAGACATGGACTAAGAGAAACATAATGCAGGGTCAATAGATTAAGTGACTAAAGGGTGCGGCAAGCTTTTTCTGGAAAATTTTCACTGCCAGAAAGTGATCAGATGGCTTACTTGCAACGCACAGACGACGATATGGCACGAACTTTGTTGTGTATACGAGCAGTTGGACCAAATGTAAGGAACAAAGTATGAAAAGTTATGAAAAGCTTTTGTGAATAGCGTGCTCAACTCTTTCCCAAGTTAAGGGGCAATTACCCACGTAATAATGCTTACGGGTTGAGCAACTTCCACTACACATAAGTTTTTCGATTTTTTTTACAAAAATCTGCTCTACACCTAGAGCTTAGTATATAGCAAGATTTTTTCCATAACCTCTCCTCTTTGTTAGGATCCGAAATAGCAATGACGCCGACCCTCTTGAGGAGGAAAGCGCGCTCCATTGGCCCACGCAACTGATGGGCTCAAGAGGGAAATCGTTTAAAAATATTCGACAGTGGCAAAGGCGAAGTCGTTTCACCGATATCTGTTTGCCATCTTAATGCTGAGCCCTGCATACTCAAACTATCTGCGTTCAAGACCGTTATAAAGAGCTACTCACAATCTAAAAATTATTTGTGAAGATCTGTTTACTTCAGGCAGGGCCCGGGACAGGTGACTTATGAGCAATAGAAATTATTCTACCCGTAAATTTTTTTTATCTTTCTCCTCTATGCTGAAAGGTGCTTTATTATGTGTGGTTTGAATTGCCTGTGTGGATCTAACTCGGAAAAAGGCCATACATTACTGAGTTGGAGTAGGATAAAAGCTACGAATGGGGGGAAATGTGAAAACACTATGGCAGGTAGTATTCCCCCTACCTGGTGGCAGGTCTCGCCGGGCGCTCGCGGCACCTTGACGTGAGGGTAGTCAAAAACTGAGACATTTGGGCCGGCCATTTCTCAAAAAATCCTGATTTGGTTGTCACTGCGATTTATGGAAACCTATATATTATAGTATCCCATGCTTTTGCCGTTTTTACTAAAACCTTTTTTTTATATCAATCAACAGATGTGGCTCGAATAATCATTCGACAAGGCAAAATACGCTCTACAAGATAGCTATCAAAGAATCTGCTCAAATCGTATTTCGCGTGAATTTTGAGCTGAATTCTAATAGTACAAAGAACGAACTTTACCGAAATCGTACCTCCGTCCCAAAAATATGGAAAATTCCGATTTGTCCTAGAATATGCCTCACACATCGAACATTCAACTGTGCACTTTCCGTTTTTTCATGATTATAAATTAAGAAAAAATGAATAAAGTAAAATGGAAAACTCCGCTCCTAGTCGTCATGAGCTCATCTCACACAGGTGGCCATATAGCTCGGGAGAAGACGGCAGAGAATTACGGGTTACCCCATAATAGAAGTGAACTCGCGAATCGCCCATAGAAAAATTGTGAAAAGCGCTGGAGGTGCTATCGCCAACTTAGCGAGCTAGCCAGCCGGCATCTACTCGGAATTTTAGCGAACACCTGTCGGCATGTTAGATTGCGCGAGTAATAGCGTGCTCTTTCGAGAAGAGCACGCTATTTCTCGCGCGAGAAAAGAGCAAGATGCCGGCATCTGACCTGTCCCTACAGCGTTGAGGCTCTGGCCTCTTGCTGGCTGCGTCTGCGAACTTGCTTGATGCGGCCTTGTCACAAACCGTGTCTCAGCAATCAATCAATCACCCATTCCGTTTCTTCTCCTTTGAAACGGTGAAATTTCTCATTATTTTGGTCTCTTCTATGTCAGTTCATAGTTTTGTAGTTTTGTAAGATAAATCAACCTATATAATATTTGGA